AAGATACAATGACAAGGCACTAATTCTCCCCAATGAGCTGGGAAAACCCTACGGGTGAAAACTCTACAGGTGAGGAGACACTTGAGCAACAGAACATGTGCTTATGTGTTTATCTTACATATAAGATATAAACACACATGTGTGCACACACATATAAACACATGCACACGCACACACAGCAAAGATGCAAGCAGGACCCACCAAGTCATGGGTACCCAGACACATGCATGCTGCAGGCTTGAGAGTCTGCGATGTCAGGTGCAAAGGGAGAAAGTCAGGGAGGAGATTGGGGTTCCATGACACCAGAACTGACAATGGGTCCCCAGGGGAAACAACAAGATGGGGTGGGAAGATGGTAGCAAACCAACAAATTCTGTTTTGTGCACATTTCCTATCACCCTTCATTCCCCTCCCAAAACAATCTGAAAGACACCCGCTCCCCAGCCTGTCATTTGATCTACCACATTTTCCAGAGCACAAAATAGACAATTGAGCATGAAACAGGATTATTTTCACCAGAGAGTTTCAAATGCCATCATTTTAATTTATAGCAGTCCTTCACTTTGGACTATGACTCCAAGTGGCCAGTATTCAATATTGTCCTAAAATGTGGTGCCATTAATCTTCAACCTAAAACTATTAAGATTCTCTACAAAAGCACTGCATATAGTATATATCCTAATATATGCTATAAATTCAGCATGTGATGGTGAACATTAAATAAATGTTTGTTAAATGAATGACTATTAAATGAATGACTCACGGGCCCTAGTGATATGGCACACAAGTAAACTATAGTCCCTGCCCTCAAGCACTTCACAGGCCAGTGAGAAAGACAGGTGTGTAAACAAATTGTTACAGTGAGATTGCTGTCATATAGGAGAAAATGCAGACATATAATAAGCACTCTTTATTGCTGAAGTACAAGGGGTAAGGGGCCATGTGGCCCAAGCCAAGGCAGGCACCAGGGTGCCACACTGAAGAATCTGATCTTTATCAGGGAAGCAACAGGGAGCCATGAAAGAGTTTTAAGCAGAAGAGTGACATTATCAAGGCTGCATTCTAGAAAGATCACTTTGGCAACTATGAAGGCAGCAACCTAAAGAAGACCGGGGAGAAGGTAGTCCGGTTAGGAGATCATTACAAATTACATAGGATCCACAAGAAAATGTGGTACATATACACAATGGAATATTACTCAGCAATCAAAAAAGATAAACTCATGCAATTTGCAACAACATGGATGGAGCTGAAAGGGATCATGCTCAGCGAAATAAGCCAGAAAGAAAAAGAAAAATACCGGATGGTCTCACTCATAGCAGGAATCTAGAAAACCTAAATAAGGGACCAGGAAAAAGAATAACTGTAAGAGGGCCTCCCTGGTGGCGCAGCGGTTGAGCGCTGGGTTGCGAAGCTACCTGCAGCCTCTGCAGCACCGGTTCAATCCCTGGCCGCCGGGCGAGGGTCCCACATGGCGCGCAGACCTCTCCTGCCACCCACTGCTCCCCTCAGCAGTGTACTTCGTTCCTTCTGCCTGTTCTGCTCCCTGCTCTGGCTCTGGTGAATTCTCTCACCCTCCCGCGCTTCTGACTGTATCCAGTGCTTGTATAAATAAATAAATCTAAAAAAAAATATATAAATCTTCAAAAAAAAAATAACTATAAGAAAGAAAAATCAAAATCAACAAGCAACTATAAACCAGAGACACACTATGGGGGGGTGGGGAAAGGAGGGATTGGGTCCAAAATAAGTGGGGTATGGGGAATATAAAAATTAAAAAAATGTAAAAAATAAAATAAATAAATAAAAATTAAAAAAAATTACATAGGATCCAGATGATACATGCTGCCTTTTTTTTTTTTTTTGGAAATCATATTGCATTATAACACTATAGAAAGTTCAGATGTGCGTCATTAAAATTCAACATGTGTATACACCATATATTGAGTTCACCACTAAAATGTAACTCCATCGTTCATCATGCAATTGACCCCTTTAACCTGGTGTACCCACTCTTTCCCTTCTGTAAACTAGTAATTGGTCTTATAGGCTACGAGTTTATTTTTATTTTATTTAATTCATCCATTTGTTTGGTTTCTCTACATATTACATATAAATGAAACCATAACATTGTTTTTCTTTCTCTGATTTTGTTTCAATAAGCATAATGCCCTCAAGGTCATCATTTTTGCAAATGGTAGGATTTCGTCCTTTTTTATAATTGGGTAATATCATATATATCAAGTCTTCTTTATCCAGTCATCTGTCAGTGGGCACTTAGGTTGTTTCCAGTTCTTGGCTATTATAAATAATGCTTCAATAAACATGGGGGTGCATATATCCCTTCAATTAGTGTTTTGTGGGTTTTTTTGGATAAATACCCAGAAGCTGGATAACTAGATCATATGGAATTTCTGTTTTTAATTTTTTGAGAAATCTGCATACTGCTTTCCATAATGTTCACAACAATTTATATCCCCACCAACAGTGTATTCAAGTTCCCTTCTCTCCACACCCTCTCCAACACTGCGTTCCTGTCTTTCAGGTAACAGACATTCTCACAGGTGTAAGATGGTATTTTGTTGTTTTGATTCTTGTTGACTCTCTGAACCAAGGGAGTACCAGGAGGGGACGAAAAGGAAGAAAAGCATTTAAGAGGTGCTTGGAAGTTAGACACAGTTGAGCCTGGCGACTGACGTAACATAGGAAGTGAAGGGAAGGTGTATGTCTGTATGGCCCTCATTTCTTGTTTGCGTGCCTACGCAGTTGGTGAAACATTAGCAAGAGAGAAGACCCAATATGAAAAGCAGTTGAAGCAGAGAGGTGGAGGACAGGTGAAGAAGTAGGAATTCCAGTTTGAACATAATGAATGTTAATGAATGTAAAGAGCTGAGAGTCACGTGAATGGAGGGCCAGGATGACAATGGATATTCAAGACAGTAGAAAACAAAAATGACACCCAGTGGGACTCACCTGCTGCCTCTTGCAGCCAAGGACTCTCCATCTGAACAAGACAGCAGTAGATGTGCATGACGCCAGGGGGCATTTCAACTCACCCTAGGATACAGTGGCTGCCCACAAGTGAGATGACACGGGTAAAGCAATCAGCATGGTTCCTGACCCATGGTAAGCCTTCTAAAATATTAGCTACAGGCTGACTTATGTTCCCCAAACTCAGAACCCAGACCCCAGCATTAGACTGTGTTTGGAATCAATATCTTTAAAGCGGTAATTATGTTAAAATTAGGTCACTAAGCTGGTGTCCTTATAAGAAAAAATTGGGAGACAGGCAGGTACAGAGGGAAAACCAGGTGAGGGTACAAGGAAAACGTTGCCATATTCAAGCCAAGAGAGAAGCCTCAGAAGAAACCAGCTCTGCTGGCACCTTTATCTCAGACTTTTAGACTCCAGAACTATGAGGAAATAAATTCCAGTTCTTTAAGCCACCCAGTCTATGGCACTTTGTTACAGCAACCCTAGCAAATAAATGTGGCTATTAAATCACCAAAAAGGGAAGTTGGTTAAATGTGTTTGGTATCATTGAACAATGATATCCTATTCAGCCATTAATAATGATGATCTTGGCATATATTTCCTGATCTATAATAACATATTATTGATATGCGGGAAAACAGGCTCTAAAATATGTAGAGACTAACACTTTGATTATATATGTGTGTAAATAAAATGTGGGAAGCATGATTGTCTTTGACAGTGAGAATCACATAAGATTTATTTTCTTGGGGGCCTCCCCGGTAGCGCAACGGTTGAGCGCTGGGTTGCGAAGCTGCCTGCAGCGCCAGTTCGATTCCCAGCTGCTCCCCGGCCACCGGAGGAGGGTCCCACATGGCGCGCAGACCTCTCCTGCCGCCCGCTGCTCCCCTCAGCAGTGTACTTCGGTCCTTCTGCCTGCTCTGCTCCCCGCTCTGGCTCTGGTGAATTCTCTCACCCTCCCACACTTCTGACTGTACCCAGTGCTTGCATAAATAAATAAATAAATAAATAAATAAATAAATAAATAAATAAATAAATAAATAAAATCTTTAAAAAAAAGATTTATTTTCTTTTTGCTTATTTGTAGTTGTTAATTTTTCTATCATGAACAAAAGTTGCTTGCACATTGTAGAAGAAAAAGTGTCTTTGGGGCCTCCCTGGTGGCGCAAGGGGTTAAGATGCAACCTATGAAGCAATTCACAGCCACTGCGGCACAAGTTCAATACCCAGGCAGGGAGCTACCCACATGGTGCAGACCTCTCCTGACGCCCGCTGCTCCCCTCAGCAGTGCACTTCAGTCAATCTGCCTGTTCTGTTCCCTACTCTGTCTCTGGTGAATCCTCTCACCCTCCGCACCTCTGGCCTGTAACCCAGCTCTTGTACGTATAAATAAATAAATCTTTAAAAAAAGAAAAAGTGTCTTTGGAGCCAGTCACCCTGAGGTGGGCCAGAGCTGATGTCAGTGAACAGGAGTCCCCAGACATAAACTGGAGAAAGACAGGAGCCGAGACTCAATGGGTCAGTTTGACTTCAGGACTGAAGGATATGTGCAGGTCATCCCCTTTCAAAAAAATAAATCAATTAATTCTGGAGCATTCATTTCTGACCAAAGATTCCAGGACAGATTCAAAGGAGAGCTGCTCCCTATTCCACTGCAACCAACTCCTCCCTCCCCACGTTCCTGTCTTTCTGGAAAGCCCACGGGTCATAAACACGGTGTGCCATGCTCCAGGGACCAGGGACAGTCTGCAAGACATTTAGATTTGCCCCTAGGATTAATGACTTCAAGGAACGTTTGCCAGGAACTCTTCAAAGCTGGAAACAGAAGCCCCGGAGCATTAAATATAAATAAATACTTAGTTGATTGGTTTCTTCCTTGCTTTTCAAAGAGCAATTTACTTCCTGGATTATCATTACAGTAGTCTGCTCTCCGGAAACCAGGATTATTCAAGTGCTCAGCTCAGAGTTAGAGAAAAAAAAAATCTAAAGATCACCTTGTTATAGATCTGCTGTGTGCTTTATTTCCTTGTAGTTTGCCTGCATCTGGAAGGGCAAGAGCAAAAGCGTTATTGTTGTGCATGCCCCACCTAACACATGTTGTTTTCAACTGCAGGCCGGTATTTTTCTCCCTTCGAGGTATATTAATTCCATTTGAGGGAAGAAAAAAAAAGCCCAGTTTTTCTATAGTAACAAGAAAGCAGTTGTCCCTGTAGCTAAGGTGGGGATTCAATTCCACAAATATTTAATGAGTTCCTAGAATGTGCCAGAAACTGTTCTGAGGCCAGGGAGAATACCAAGATAATTTAAGTCCATTGTACAAACATGGACAACAATGTAAGGCAGAGGAAACAGTCATTCCAACAGCATGGTTTTTTAACTAAGACCAGCAGATGGGCCCCCAGTCTGTGACGTACAGACATTGCTGGTGAAGTTTGCCATGTGTGCCTACAGATCTGCTCAAAGGAGGGGACCCCATGTCCCTGGGCTTTCAAAGGGTGATGGGACCCACAGGTAAGAGACTATGGGAGCAAAGGGTAGGCAATCTTTCTGACACCTCCCCTCTCATCTCGGTGGTGAAATGAAGATTCCTGAGCAGGAGTGTGGACAGCATGCCTGTTCAGCTGAATCCCAGGAAGGGTTCTTCCCTTTTCTCAGAGTCCCTCACTACCACCTCCCATGGGCAGATGGGGAACTGGCAGCATTAGGTCTTGGCCTTCTGGCAAAGAGCCTGTGGTTGTGTTGAAAGACTTTAGAGGAGTTTTCGAAAGGTGTTCCCTTACAATCTCCTGTGGCCTGAGTTTTCGGCACATCACTCTCTACCTCTCCTAACGGGAGGAGAGGAATCCTCCATAAAGTTTAGCTCCTTTAAAAAAAATTAGAGACCACATAAGGAAAAGAAACAACCTCCCATGAGTGAGAACAATAGATACCATAATCAAGAGGATTAGAGTCCCAAGAGCTAAAATAATAATTGCCAGTTGTATAACTTACCATAAATCAGTTATGTCACCTTATCATACAATGCTTTCCCATACTTTCCAGTAATTAAACATGGCATTTCTATGATAAGAACTTTTTCAAATTATTCAAATTACTTCTGTTGCATATTTCAAACTATCCAATTATACTTTAATATTGTTTATAACAAAATTGATCAGTTATTGGTCTTATCCAACATCACTCCTAAGAAAAAAAGTATGTCAGTTGTTTTTCATGTTTTCCTATTATATTTCAAAGACTTAAATAGTATTGACCTTTTATTAAAAAATAAATAAAAGTAGTACTTATAAATGTAAACAAATAAATAGGGTTCCAGACTCCCTGAGGAATTTGACCTTCAGGAAAAACATTCTCAGAATCACTGAAAGTTTGCCCATAGTTTTAAGGTAGTTTTCCTTACCCCAAAGAGTTTCCTGAAAACCTCTAAGTAAACTTAAGAAAGTGATACCAGAATCACCCCAACCATCTCTGAGGTCCATTTTCTCAACTCTCCATCACCTGTATTAGTATCAGATTCTTTTCAGGATCTAATTGTGGAGGACAGGAGACAAACCACACCCATAGGAATGTTCTTTTTAAGGGTTATAAGTAGAAAGAAGAATTCTTGAACTTCAAGGTGTTAGAAAACTTGTCTTCCTAACTCATCAGCTCTTTTTTTCCAATTCTCCTTGCAGCAAATAAAAACCCTTTTCTTGGAGATTTTCTTTGTCAATTCATCTAACTTAGAACACTTTTCCTCATTCTGCTGACCCATAAGCTATTTTTTTCTTTGAAATCTGAGAATGCCCAGTCTTAGCAAGCACGCCAACCAAACCTCTGATCATTCCATTGCTTACACCCCTGGAAGGCTCATTCACTGCAAATCCACTCTAGGTAGTGATTCAAGCTTGTTATTCATTCAATACACTTTTATACATTTTATACACAGCTCGAATTTGTGCCACACACAAGGAATTTTATCTAAATTCTTCATCAGTCCTGCAAGACAGACTTATTTGTTTGACAAATCAGAAAACTGAAATTCACAGAGGGCAGAAAAATTGTGTCAGTCTGGACACCAAAACCAGAATTCAAAACCACCAACTCTAGTTGAAAAGTTGTTGACCTTCTACAGCACTTAGTATGATTTTGTACAGGACTTAGTGTGAACTTGAACAGGACTTAGAGTGTGCTAGGCACTGTTCACCTATGTTCTTTAATCCTTATAAAGATGCTCTAAGAAAATTTCTAATATTATCCCCATTTTATAGACAAGTAAACTGAGGCAGGGATGTTCAATGCTCAAGGTCACACAGTTAATATCAGTGTGCTACAGTCTAAATCCAAATAGTTAATTGACTAGAGTTTATAGTTTATGCTCTTAATCCCAGAGCCTTAGAAGGCTGAACTTCAAAGTTCATCCTTATCCCTCCAACCCACAATATTTATTTATACTCCATTTGTTGACTTGTGAGGTAATAACATTCTTTTAGAATGGCACATATCAAAAAAACTAGAAACAACAAATGTCGGCGAGGATGTGGTGAAAATGAACTCTGCTGCATTGCTGGTGGGAGTGCAAACTGGTCCAACCACTATGGAAAGCTGTCTGGAGTTTCCTCAGTCTACTAAAAATGGAGCTACCATATGACCCAGCAATTCCACTCCTAGGGATCTACCCAAAGGACACAAAAACATTGATTCAAAAGAATACTTTTACCCCTATGTGTATTGCAGCACTGTTTATAATAGGTAAAACCTGGAGGCCAGAGAATACACAGTCTGCTTAAAGAACATCTAGAAAGCATGTGTAGCTGGCACAACTTAGGCCAGGGGTGTACAGACCCTATTGAGCCTGGAAGGTCACTGGAAGGCCCTTGGCTTTTACTTTTGAGTGAGAGAGAAGAGTCCAAGCAGAGGTGTGACCTGCCCCAACTGGGCTGTAAGCTGCCCTCCTGATGGCCCACCAACCCCCCTTTGCTCTCCCAATCCGTCCTCACCCATTCCCAATCCACAGATCTAGTAGACCAGCTCTACACTACCCATCCAGATGGTAGTTACCATTTTTTCTTTCTAATTCATGCTAATCTTTCCTTTTACTGTATGTACCTAGTGGACATAAAGTCTAGTCAGAGGTCATTTCACTTATGGAATCTCCTACAAGATTGTGAGCTTCTTGAAAGCAGAGACCACTGTTACCATTTCTGATTCATTATTGTAGTACCAAGTGGTTGTCAGCCACTCCCTGCAACAGGATTGTAACAGTCCTATTAGAAGTTCTCCTGCTATTGACCTAAGGGCCATATTCCTGCAGCATCCAGCCTCAGTCCCTGTTTTGGCCTTAGTTGCTGTACAGAGCATGTAGACATTCTCTCCCACCTGGCAGAACTTGGAAGCTGTAATGGTATTCTTTTGTGCATGTAACATTCCTAGTATCTACTAAGCTGGTAAATGTCACATCCCCAGGCCCAGAAAACTGCTCCATCTGGCCCAGACTCCTCACCAAAGTCAAACATTACAGCCACTCCCTAACATGTGCCTGACCAACCAATATTTTTTGTCCTGGTAAAGGCCTCATCCAGTCACCCCCAGCAAAGAGAGGGGATGCAGCCAAGAGCCCCAGCAACTTCAGGGGCTCCAGAGACATTTTCCTCCATTGCCTGCATCTCTTTTGCCCACCCTTCTCTCTACCTCACCCAGTTGCCTTGGCTGGACACTTTTCCACCCCCCTCTTAAGTGGTCTGGTTTCCCTCCCTGCTACCATGCATCCCTCTAATCAATCCTCTCTCCCTGCTCCTTCCGTGATGTTTCTAGAAGGTAAATATGCCCTCATTTCTCACCTGATGAAAACCTTTCAATGTTTCCTATTGCCCTCAGAATAAATCCCAGACTCCTTAGTTTGACAATTTTTTAAAAAGGACCAACAACTCTGACTATTGGAAATTGAGACTCAGCATCTCAAGAGAGTGGAAACACAAAATAAAACTTTAAAAGAAACTATTAGGGAAAAGACACACAATTGCCCTTTGTTAAGGTTGAAAATATAAGTTTATGTGGAACAGAATAAGGATAAGTTGGCTTACTAGCTTTTCCTGAAAACCAACCACCCTTGGGGCTCCTGACAACTGGAGTCTCCATATGTGACAACAGCATCAAGTGACCATCTGCAAGAACACAACAGTTTCGTCCTGTACTGCAGGTCACATGTTTTAGGTGGAAAGTTGGCCTCCTGGAATTTTCCCCAAGGAGGGAGTGATAGTTGGCTGCCCCAGCCAGTAAGAGAGCTCTTTATTCATTTTAATTCCATTCAATCAAATTGAAAGATGTTCTTGGCCACTGTGTGCCTTTCTTTAAACACAGCTGTATACTGTAAAACTTTGAGAATTTCAAGATCATTCTCCAGCCATGGAAGACTAATACCTCCTTACCCCCACTCTATTGTTCTACCATTTCCACAGCACTTAACTCTTCCCAACATACTATGTATTTTCCTTATTTATTACGTTATTGTTGTTTGTTTTCTACTGTTAACCTATCACCTCTATGAAGGCAAGGATTTTGGTTGCCTTTATTCATTGGTGGGCCCCAACCAATGCAACAGTATCCCAACCAACTCCCTGCAACAGTATCTGGCACACAGTAGGTAATCAATATGCAATCATAGATATATATATGACTATATAAATGATAATCTAGTGGAACCAGCTGTGGAATTCTACCACCAATTGTACTAGCTCTCCTTTCAGCAAAATTGAAAAGTATACCTGTTATAGTTTCACCAAGATTGGTAATTATAGCGTTGGAAAGTGTAGAGCTACAGAGATGCTGATGTATGTGCTCCAACAAATCAGTGCAAGGGTATTCATAGTCACAAGGTTGGACATAGCAACCTTGGACATAGCAAAAGCTTATCCATACCTGTTAACCATTAGAAACCTGGAATAGTCATGCATTGGACTATCATGGAGTCTTTTTTTTTAAGTGAGGCAGATCAAAGGTACTAATTTTATGTGATGTCCTAGATGTAGCATTATATTACAAAATGTATTTTTTTTCTGGTGGTTGATTAAATCTTGCCTTTTGTGATAGAATGGGCAGATCTTAAGGGCTACATGAAATAAGTCAGACAGAAAAAGACAAATATGGTTTGATCTCTCTTATATGTTGGAATCTAGAAAAGTAGAACCCATAGAAACAGAACCCACTGGTGGTTACCAGAAGATAGGGGGTAGGAGAAACAGGGAGATGTTAGTCAATGGTTACAAACAACCTGTCTTAAGATGAATAAGGGAATCTAGTAAATAGTATAACTATAGACAATACTGGGTGCTATATTTAAAAGTTGCTGAAAGAGTAGCTCAAACACACAAGTGATTATATTAGGTAATGGAGGTGTTCACTAACCTTATTATGACAATCATTTTGCAATATATATACATATCAAATCATTACATTGTACACCTTAAACTTAAAGAGTGCTTTATGTCAACTGAATCCCAAACAAAATTGGAGGGAAGGGTGGAGAATAGAAAGAACATAGCAGCTTTATTATGCTTCTATTTAAAAAAACAAAACAGAAGTCTTTTATACATCAGCTTTACCCTGCTTTTACTTTTTAATTTGGCTTCTTTGGTTTGGTTCGTAGTTGCATTAATATTTCTTTAAGGGTTTGCTTAGCAATAATTCAACAGCCAAACATTAATTTAGCACCATGATATGCCAAGCACGTGTAGAACCTTTAAATATACTATTTCCTTCAACCTGTGGCAGAGTAGTCACTATTCTTATTTCACAGTTGAGAAAATTAAGACTCTATGACTTACCGAGGATCACACTACTTCTAGATTGTATTGATCCAGTAGTGATAATGGCCTTACCCTTCTATGCTTTTTATTTTTCTGGCCATGCATTTCCCTGTGTCTCCTCCTGGTATGCAGACCATGCAGGGGGTCACTGCACTGAGGCATCATGGCCTTCCAGGTGTTCTGGCTTGGAGGAGCCTGGAAGCTCATCCCCTCTCCCCTGCAGAGGTGTGGAATGACAAGGTATTGTCACAGTCCTGCCAGAGAGTTGGAGCCGACAGGTCTGTCTCTCACCTGCCCAGGAAACAGAACCTGGCAGACATGCATGTCTGCCCACCCAGGCAGGAGAACTGCTACTGGCCTGTGACCTGCAGCAGATCTGTGCCCACTTGTCCTGATAGCCTCCCCACCAGCACTTGTGTTTCCTCTGCTTCATCAGGGAGGCAAGGAAGAGAGACGCTTCATTCCATCAGGGCAGCCTCCATATCAAGGCGAGCTCTGTTATGTCTAAGGCAGAAGGCCAGAATTTAGTTAATTTTATCATTTTAGGTGATTCAACTGTTTGCGTGAAAAGAAGGGGCCTTGGAACTGGTGGCGTCATAGATAAGAAGTGCGGGCAGCAGCAGCAGATGGGTGACCTTGTTCTGCATATTAACTCCTTTCCATCCTCTCTGCCCTTCCACACCCCCTCCCTTGATTTCATTTTCTAGTCCAAGGTTTTAACACCAGGAGGGAAGGAGTAATTAGCACAGCCAAGCCTTGGGAAAATGCTGCATCAGGGCAATCCACATGGCTCAGCCAGATCCATGGCCTTCAAGCAGGGACAGGCTGGACACTCCCAACACCAGGCTCAGCATCCGCAGGAGGAAGAAGGCAGCCAGCCTGGCCCCCATGGGGGCAGAGGATAAGACTGGCGACAGGGCCAGGCAGCTTGTCTGGGCTGAGGCACTCCGGGAGGTATTAACCCAGGTGGCTCAGGAAGTGAGGGAGCTCTGCTAATTCTCAGCTTGCTAATTCAATCCCAGTCAACAAACATTTATTGAGTGCCTGTTATGGACCCAATTCTACTAGGACCAGGGGGCTGGAGAGGAATGATACCTGTCCCTACCACCCACAAAGAAACAACCTGTAATTATTTAGGTTGACAGAGCCCAATGGGTGATGTACATAAGGGCCAGAGGGAAATTGCTGGAATAGACTAGGAGCAAGAAATGCGCCCAAAACCCCAACTTGGAAGGCTCGCTTGACCCGAAAACCCAAGATCTTCTCCTAATGGGAAATTGCCACAAGAGGCAAGAACCAGTAGGGGACTGGAGGGGCCAGGAAGTCCTAATAATAAATATTCTATTTTCCCCTTAAGAATGTTTGTATTTCTCATTTGATAGGTCCCAATTTGTGGCTTGAAAATATGTTTTCCTAAGATAAGTGCTATGTGACAGGGTGTGTGGATGTGTGTGTGTGAATATGCTGGAAATCCTACTACCTCTAACTAGTCCCATCTCTGGCTTATACCCTGCGAAGCCTCTAAACCACACACTTCTATTAATATTATCCACTTAAGTAGAAACCCGCTATGCTAAGTCTCATTGAGAGTTCTATATTTGACATTAAAACATGAGACAGTATTATTGGTTTATAAGGAGACTATGATGTACTCTAAAAGTATTTTTTCCAAAACCAATCATATCCCACATGTAAATAATTTTTCAAATCATCATTTGGGTAAGTCCTGGATATTTTCAAGGAAGAGAGTTTCTTTATTTGGCATTACTGGTTTACAATCTATTCACACAAGTGCTTGCACAAAAACTTTGTTTTAAATAACTGTATCATGCTCTTCCCTGCCTGGTAAAATAGTGTACTGAACATTATCTTGATGACTCAGTGTGTTATTAGCTACATAGTGAGTACACATTTTACCATGGTACAGCATAGTGCCTCCCAGTACTATTGAAGTACATTGAGCTGTTTTCCTTTACACTGACATTGAATTATTGTTATTATATTTATGATTTTTTTATCATTTTTTTGCCTCTTTCCTCCATGGTAGGCTATCACTCTAAAATATTGCTCCTAGCACTCCCACTTACAACACCTACTTTGCTGCTGACATTAATAATACTAACAATAATATTAATATTAATAGCTATTTGTCAGTTGCCATGTACCTGGCACCATGCTAAGCTAAATCAGGAAAATTTCTTCATTTGATTCTTCTAAGTATTCCATGAGACAGGTACTATTGCTACCCACCATTTACAGAGGAGGACACTACACAAAGGCTTAGAAAGAAATTAACTTGTCCTTCTTGGCACAGCAGGAGGCAGGGAAGGAAGCCATGCTGTCTGAATGCAGAGCTCACACTACAGAGGCCTGAGCTACCAGACAATCAAAATCAGTTGTGTATGTTTGTAAACTGAGTTCCTAGACTCCAAATGGAGAACTGCTCAACTCCGTAATGTGTAAAGTCCCTGACTTTAGTGAATGTCCTTTCTTTGCCAACCTCTTTGTCCTCAAGCATAGTTCAAATAGCTAAGAGTGATGAAAAAGCAAAGCTGGCTAGCTTTTTTTTTTTTTTCTTTTCCTAGATACTACCTTGCTTTTATATAGCGCCTATTCTAGAATTTGTTCAGAAATATCAAGCTCATTTATCTTTACACCATCTCTGTGACAGTCTATTGTTCATAGGCATTATTACAAGTTTTACAACTTTTAAAATGAAGTTAGACCAAACGCCAAAAGGACAATCCACAGAAATGTGGATGCTCCCACTGACCCCAACATTTCCTTGAGCCATTGTCCAAAACCGTAGGCCCACTTGCCGTCGGAAGCCCAGGGTCTGCTCAGATACCACTGGGCAAATATTTGCTCTCCTTCTCTGTTCTTTTTCCCCTTTTTCATTGCTTCCAAACTGCTCGCTCACAACGTGTGAGGCTCCATGCCAGGAGCCAAGAGCAGCTTTCCTCCCTTCCATTCCGTCACGCGTGGAGCTGCTGGAGAGTTGAAGGGAATGCAGACTGGCACGTGAGATGATTTTAGATCTTCACCTTTGTAACAAAGGCAATTCTATTCTTGAGCTGCTTGGGACAAGCCCTTGAAGCCCTTCCTGACTCCTCTCTCTCTCATACACCACACACAATCCTTCAGAGTCCTGTCACCCCAGTCCCTCAAAATATACCCAGAAGGGCCTCCCCGGTGGCACAGCGGGTTGAGCGCAGCGCTCTGAACTTGTCCACAGCCTCTGCAGCGCTGGTTCAATTCCCGGCCAGCCAGGGAGATACCCACATGGCGCAGCAGACCTCTCCTGCCTTGCCCACTGCTCCCCTCAGCAGTGTATTTCAGTCACCTGCCTGTTCTGCTCCCTGCTCTGTCTCTGGTGAATCCTCTCACCCTCCAGCACCTCTGGCCTGTACCCCAGTCTTGTATAAAAATAAATTAATCTTTAAAAAAAAAAAAATATATATATATACACCCAGAAGTTCACAGCTTCTTACCACCTTCAGCCCCACCACCTGCTCCAAGCCATCATTGTGTCCCTATGTTGTGGCAATGATCTCCAAGATGTCTCTCCACTCTTACCCACACCCCCTCAGTCTATTCGTCAACAACCGCCAGAGTTCTTTGGAAAGCTGTTTCCAACTGTGCCACCTCTCTGTTCAAACCTTCTCAGTCCCCCTGCTCTGACAGAACAAAGGTCGAAGGTCTGCCTCTGTCATCCTCATCTGCCCCACCCACTAGATTACTCCTCTCCTCTCCAGCCACTCAGCCTCCTCTGGGGCACCTATGGGTGACAGTTATGTGTGTCTTTCCAGAATTCTGGATTCTTTGTTGTTTTATTTTCATCACAAGCTTTTGACCTGCAGTTGAATACTGGAAGACTGTAGAGAGCTGCCCAGTAGTCCTCAGAGACCTTGGTAGAACAAGGGGGTCTGGCGCTTTCCCAGCCTCCTGACCAGCCCCCTCCCGGGCACTGGAGTCTTCCCTCCATCAAGCAGGTGTGCCCGCCGCCAGAGTCCGTCCCCCACTGCAGGCCACAGCAAACATTGGTGGCGACAGTAAGAACACACTTTCTTTTTCTATTTGCTATAGGTGGCAGAATGCCCAAGACCGGCCCAGCACTGGCATTTCAGGGAGAAATTCCGGACTGAAGAGACACCTAGAGAGAAAGGGAGACATGGAAATGCTTATGGCTTTCAACAGTCATCCTTTGAAGCAGGCTGGAAACAGGGGAGGTTAAGAGGACGCTTTGAGGGTTACCTAAAACCAAGGTAGAGACAAATATATGAAAGAAAAAATACATATATAAGAAGCAGGTATCTGGCACCGGGCTCCTTAACAGACCTGCTGCCACCAGGACTCAACCTGCCGCCTGCTAAGGCTGAGTTCCCTCTCCTGCCTCCCCACTCTCAAAGTGCAAGGTCAGGGAGGGTGGGTCAGCAACAAAAGAGATCTTCTCGAGTTTGATATCTCAACCACATCACATAGCCCCTTGCACATGTAGGAGCCTGGCACGCCTGCTCCCATGCCCCCCTTTTCTTTTGACTGTGAGCCCACAGGCCCATTCCTCTAGCTACACAAAGGACTCCCTTCCCCTTCTTGCCTTCCCATCCTTTTGGAGAAACAAAGGTGGGGGGGGGGCCTGCTCCCAGAAACACTGTCTCCCAGAGTCAGGAGAATTCCCGGAATGGGCAGGGACATCACCCAAAAGAGAGAAAGGAGAACTCTAGGTGAAGGCAGAGGGGAGCAGGGAGCAGATCAAAGAGAGCCTGGACAGGTCAGGAGTAGGGAGTGCTGGCAGGAGACAAATGAGGCTCCATAGGGGTCAGCCCAGGGACAGGCGTGCCTGCACTCAGATGCAGTGACAGCGCAGGAACACCTCGGAAAAGGCCGGTTGTGGCAAAGAGACAATAGATGGAAAAGATAAGGGAAGGTGTAAATTAATGGAGAAAAGGACTGGCCAGAGATAAGGGTGTCTCCCTGTAATTAAAAACGTACAGCCTTGCCATCTCCAAGGTTGGTGGTGTCCCAGGCTATCCTGGGCCTGAGGTGAGAGTTAAGGTCTACAAGCTGCAGAAATCAGACCAGTTAATGATTAACTCCAACAAGAAGGTTAAGAAGCTGACTCAGTTACCTGTGATGAGGTGAGTGACTTACCCAACTCAGGAGTCATTTGACACGAATCCTTACTTCTAAGGCCAGCCAGGGTAGACTGTTTTCAATTGTTCAGGCTTTTGTTGTTTGGTTGGTTGTTAGTGATGGAGGTAGTTTTTTTTTCTACTTTAACATTCTAAACCCTGTCTTGTCACTGGTTATATTTGAACTTGATCTTGCTAGTTCCACCCCCAAAAAGGGTGCTTGATGGTAATTTCTGGTGAGATGTGTTTTTCTACAGTCAGAATTAATTAAATAACAGAATGGGGAAAACAACAGTCTAGAACCAGGCTGCCGATGTCACGTCCTGCTTCGTGCACTTGCCACCTCTGACTTAGGATGAGATACTTGACCTCTCATAGGGTGTCCTGGGCACCAGGCACATGGCAACCTCTGAACAAGTGCCAGCTGCTAGCAGCAGCAGCAGCAGCATTGTCATTCAATTATTACTATTTCTCCTACAACCTGGGAGAAACACTTTGAAATAAGTGTTGACTTCTTTTTAAAATCTCATTTCCTGTCTTCACATTTGAGAATGCTCCCAGCCCCTCAGCACAGATGCCGTGGACTTACGTGAAACAATCATTTCAGAGGACAGTGACAAAGAAGCCACTGTCTCAGATGTAAGTCGTGGTGGCCAGGGGAGGTGATTACAGGCTCCCATGCATACTGTCTATAAATCCCTACTTCTTTCTCCCTCACATCCAGTTCTTCACAAATCCTGTCTAGTCTGTCACCAAAGTAAACCCTCAGTCCATCCACTTCTCTCCATCTTCACTGCGCCCTGCCCAGTCAAAGCCATCATCACCCACCCACCTGAACTGCTGCAATAGTCCCCTGGCTATCCCCCCAACTTTGACTCTTCCTTGGAACTCCCAATCTATTTCATACACTCCATATATAGTGGTATCTTTAAAGCTATGGCTAAAGAAACTACATCACTCTCCCTCTTAAACCTCCCTCTGATCCTCCACCACCAATAGCTTCCCATTGCACTTCAGATAAAATCTCAAGTTCTTAGCTGGTTTAAAAGACCCTGTAGGACTGGCCCCGTTTCCACCTGAACAATCTCATCCGGAGCCACACACCTCCTTGTCTGCTACACTCCAGCTTCACTGAGTTCCTTTCAGTTCTTCAAACACCCTTTCTACCTCTTCAAAGGCCAACTCCTTTTCAAGTCTTAGCATCAATGGCATTTTTTTTTTCAAAGAAAACTTCCCTGGCCTCTCTCTAATTACCTCCCCAACTTCCCTCTTTGACTCTCTTTTACAGCATCATGTTCGTTTTCTCCATTGTATTTATTTCTGTAACTCTACAAGTATTTGCTTGCTAATTTGTCATTTTCTTTTTTGTCTCTGTCTACCATACTGCATCAATGTGAAAATAGTGGACTACGTGAACAATGAAGAATGAGGAATATGAATCATTTGATTTCTAGTGTTTGAGATCCTGGGTGGAAGGAAAGGAAAGAGGGAGAGAGGGAAAGAAACTAAATTTCAAACCTTTGATTCCAAAATGGCAAGCAAAGGCATTTTCTCTTGTTTCTCTTGTCAAAAGAATTCTTTTATTCTGAAACAGAATTAGAAAATCTGTCAAACTAAAAGATCTGTAACTTCAAACAAAAGTATAGGAAGGGCAAAGTGAATGGAGAAATGCTAAGTGACTCAGCACAAAAGAGGAAGGTCAAACATAAGTATTTTGCAGGTTGTGGCATATGAGATAGGCAGCAATAGCTTTAATTTTGTAAAATTCCAGGAGTGTTCCAATATCAGAGACAGCGGTCAATGCTGAAGGTAGGAATAAAAAAGTGGTACTGAAAACAGAGGAGTGGCTTGAAATTCTATGTAGAAGTAGCTAGTCCCCCCACTCTTCACTGCATAGTCAGACAAAAACTCCTCACCATCATCATTCTTCTTCCCCATATTTCCTTGTAATGAACCTAGACAGTAGCCCAATGGAGAAGTCAAACAAAAAAAGGCTCCATCCAAGAAATTCTACTTCCAAATACAAGGAATTCCAGAAATATATAAAAAATTTACATAGAGGTGTTATGGGTTGAACTGTGTCCTCTCAATGTTTATATGTTCTCGGTATTTTAGAATAACTATACTTGGAGAGGAAATCTTTAAAGAGATAATTAAGTTGAATGAGGTTGGTAAAGTAGTGCCCGAATCCAGTATATCTGGTTTTCTAGAAGAAGAAGAAAAGACAGCAAGGATGCCTGTGCACAGAGAAGCCAAATAAGAACACAGTGGAGAGGTGGCTATCTGGAGGCCAAGGAGAGAGATCTTCAAAGAAACCAAACTTGTCACTGCCTTGATCTTGAACTTCCAACCCCCAGAATTATGAGATAATATACTACTGTTGTTTAAGCCACCTAGCCTGTGGTATTTAGTTATGGTAACCCCAGCAAATTAATATAAGAAGGGAAGAAATTATCAATATAATATAAGAAATAATATAAGAAAATAATTTAAGAAATAATATAAGAAAAGTTGAAGGGCATGAGTATATTGACAAGCCCAGTGACAAGCATAAAGAATGAAGGTTCACACCAAGACACTATCAACTTTTCACAAAAAAATACAAAAAACAATACAAAAGCTTCTAGACAGGCACTCTAAGTCATATGGTAGAGTCAAGTGTGAAAATGGGATCAAATGTTTTAATACCATCATGGTTATTAGACGATAATGAGGTAATACCCTCAAAATTCTGTGAATAAATATTTCCTAATTATAATTTTATATTCAATCAATCATCAGTCAACTGACATAGTAAAATAAAGATATGTTTTAGATGTTAAAAGACACAGAGGAAAATGGTACTTCATGTGCATGCTTTATTGGGAAGCCACTGGAGAATATATTCCACCAAAATAAAGAAATAAGTTAAAAAAAAAAAACAAAAACAAAATATGGACCTAGACAGCAAAGAATCAAGCAGAGAAGAAAAGGAAGGAAATTCCTAGGATGGAAGTGAAGGGGAGTTCCCATGATAATCCCATGGTTATATAACTACAGGTCAACTAAGCAACCGTTTCAGACTGAAGCATGATGACAAAGGTTCCAGTAAAAAATTAGGGCCTCCCTGGTGGCAAAGGGGGTTAAGCATGGTTCTATGAAGTTGTCTGCAGCCTCTGCTGCATGAGTTTGATCCCCGGCCAGCCAGGGAGCTACCCACATGGTGCAGCAGACCTCTCCTGGCTCACCCACTGCTCCCCTCAGCAGTGTATTTCAGTCAATCTGTCTGTTCTGTTTCCCACTCTGTCTCTGGTGAATCCTCTCATCCCCCGCACCTCTGGCCTGTACCCCAGTCCTTGCATGCATAAATAAATAAATCTTTTTTAAAAAAATAATTAAGAGGCACTTACACTTAAAAGTAAAATAGGTAGTTATTGGTGGGTGAAGCAAAACTTACATTTAAAGGAAACTAGAGGATGATTTCACTCATTATGTGGAATACAGAGAAAGAAAACAAAGGAGCTAACAAAACTAAACCAAAAACTGCAGAATTGAGACTACTAGAGAGAGATTACTAGAGAGGGAAGGAGAGAGTGAGAAGAAAGGGTGGAGGGGACCCAATAGTCTATGGAAAGGACTACGGCTGCTTTGATGGTGACATACATCTGAGAAGATGTGAACCCGTTTTCCTAAACCACATACAGTTTTGTAAATCAATGTTATCTCAATAAAAATAAAAAAAAAAGTAGAAGAAAAAGCCAACCATTATTAGCTTTCAGAAAAATAAAACTTGAACAGGAAAGGCAATGTGATCAGACCACACAATTTTGTTTAGCAGTGAAAGGGATTTACAAATACACAATAATGAAAATGTGAATATTAATGTAATCATAATTGGGATATAATTGTGTTATGAGATAAGGATAAGGAAAGAGTCTACATCACAGGAAGCAAAACTTATTGTGTAAAGTTGATGAAATAAGTATAATCATACTATTTAGAAATAAAAATATAGGAAACTGATTTACAAATTTGACCATAATTGAATAATAAGTTTTGGACTTAAAATCTATAATCTTAAACAACTATAAAAGAAAACAAAACACATGAAACTACTATTTTTAGGCATCAGGCGAGGATTTGGTCCTCGAAAGATGGGAAATACATAAAGCAAGCTCCACATAAAGCAAGCTCCACATTCACTCAGTTTTCTGCTGGGAATACCCTCCAAACCAAGGCACAGAGAAGTAGAGCTGCTGGGATAATAGAAAGTAGGTAATTGTGCAAAGGAGAGTTGTCATAAATCTTCATAAGAGTCTCCTTGAGTCTTCAGGTAAATATTAAGTAACACAGGCAAAGGGTGAGATTCTGCAAGGGATAGCAGACAAAAGTTCTAGGGGTTTGTGAACAGAACAGGGAATTCTGAAGATTGGACTGGGAAAATTGGAGTTTTAAGCAGACCAAAGAGATTTTCCTGAATATCCCAAGCATTCAGCTGAGACTTCAGAAAGACCACACTTAGAAAAATGGCTACTTTAGCCTTCATAAAGACTTGGCTTGACCTCCACTAACAAAAGCTAAACTAAGCTTTACTATGATCAGACTGATCCACCAGGAAAGTATAGTCATGCATTGCTTAATGATGTTTCCATCAATGACAGATTTCATATGTGATGGCAGTCCTAATAGGTTATATAATGTAGCCCAGGTGTGTAGCAGGCTATACCATATAGGTTTTTGTAATTACCCTCAATGACTTTCACACAATGACAAAAATCACCTAACAACGCATTTCTCAGAATACATTTCCATCAAGTGAAACATGACTACAACTGCCTCCCAGAAAAAAATTTGCTTTCAAAGAAAACAACAAATCAAAAATTATCAGTAAATGGAGTCCATAATGTCAAGTAAGCCATAAAAAATTATTAGACATATAAAGAAGCAAGAAAGTGTGACACTCTTATTCTGCTTTATATTCCCTCCAGAGTGCCCCACCCTACAAGCCTGATTGGGCCATTTTCAATACTAAGCATTTGACTGGACTGTTTAGCACCAATCAAATCATTTCCATTTTTCAATCCAAATGAAGTGAGCTTGAACCTGTTTGGTCCATTTAGCTCACACCTGATTGGTCCACTTAGCTTATACCTGATTGGTCCACTTTAATATTCTTGCATCAGATATAAAAGGGTGAACAGCCCAACCAGGCCTGCCTACCAGGGTAGGCTGGTGTTGCTTCTCAGGTAGGTAACTATGGCTAGAGCTGGCCTTACTGGGGCCAGAGGAGGGAAAATGCCTGCAGACTTCAGCCTCAACAAAATAACTTTGTCCTGCGGCCTCTGGATGGCTGTGGGGATCCAGTAACAATTTGTGACTTTCCCATCAGTTTTATAGCAGCTTTACACATTCCCAACTCAAAACTAGGTGTCTTACTTTAATGCCTAACATGACTGAATAAAGGAACTTGGTCTCCAACTTTTTAATAATTTTTTTAGAGTTTTGTTTGATTTTTGAATGGGTAATATATGAGCTCATTGAAAAATAAAGCAATTATATATTAGGGAAATTCAAGCAGAAATTTTAGGAATAACACACAGTCTCTCTAAGGGATTTGCTAGATGCAATTACAGGTGCTAGTAAAGTAGTCTCTAGAGCTATTGTCTTTACATCTGATGCCAGAAGTTCTTGGGAAGATGAATGTAAAGTGGAAGAGAATAAGGCCAAGCAGGAACCTACAAGTATATACTAGAACCCTGAGTATGGACTGAAATGTGTGTCAATCCTTGCTGCTTGATGGTGGTATCTTGCAGGAGAAAATCATACAGGATTCAGAGTTAACCCACAGTCAGAAAAGAAGAAAAAGGACCCAAAGGGAGATTGAGCTTCTGCAGGTCTGATCAACAATGCATTAAGCTACCAAAAGTACTCCTTTATTTCCATCCACTAAAACTCACCTAATAACCTCTTTGGAGGCCTACTCTAACTGGAAACATATAGAAAAGAGAATTACAGGTAATGTAGTTCAGTTTAGCCAGGTTGACACGCCACAAGGCCTTCACCTATACAAAAAGGTTCACACTGAAAATATCTCCCTCCTTTCTAGTCTCTGAATTTTCTTCCCCCCAAGCAATTAGCTTTTAGTACCAGTATCTTGTGTTTTCTTCCTTAAATAGTCTGTGCACATACAAGCATACACACACATCTGGTGTATTTCACACAAAAGATCACATGCTGCAAAATCTTGCCTTTTTTTAAATTAAACAATACATCTTGGAAACCTTCCCACAACCATATAGATAAATTCGCCTTTTTCTTCTTGCTGTGTAATATTCCACTGTGTGAATATATATATAATCTATTTGACTGAAAATTTATTTATTTATTTTAAAAAACTTTCTTTAATTATTTGTTTGCTTATTTATACGAGCACTGGGTACAGTCAGAAGCGCGGGAGGGTGAGAGAATTCACCAGAGCCAGAGCAGGGAGCAGAGCAGGCAGAAGGACCGAAGTACACTGCTGAGGGGAGCAGCGGGCAGCAGGAGAGGTCCATGCCATGCGGGACCCTCCTCTGGTGGCCGG